AAAAAGTCATTGGTTCCGCAGTTTCTTTGGAGAAGGGAAAAAAGGTAAGCAGTTGCAATACAAAGATCAGAATTTAAGCCTTGCCCAGTGATGCGGTATCAAGGGAAACTGCACCTTTATTTGATTCTTGTTGATTTAGCAAACGGGTTGAACATAAGGGTAATAGTAGGAAAAGAAGACAAATGTCATTATGGTAATCGATAAAGACTCTGCTGTCAAACATAAATTGCTACTAGCTAGGGAAAGGAAATATATCTTATTATGTATGTTGTGGCACTGTACAGCATAGAGTGTAACGCTTTTTATTCTTATACAAAACATTCTAACTGGAATAGACAACAGCATCCAATGCTTAAAAGTAACTCTTAGCACCCCACTGAAGATTGTTTCTGGTACAAGGCTGTGAAAATTTGCAGGGGAAAAGGGGGACAGAACATAAGTTTGAAATTACAGATGGTAGCTGAACTGATGAACTCACCCTTTGGAATTCTTGTAATTCAAGGCCATTTAGTGAATTCAAACACTTTCAAAACTATCTCCCATCCAGTTGGTATTTGCCACACGAAAAGCAGAACATTTATCACATTCAACGTAATATGTAGGTTTCTGGCGGTCTCACTACCTTTTTGCATTGCAGGTGTAAGAGCCGCCGCCGCTGCCCATAGCACCGTGATAGCTGTTGACAAGAAGAAAAACCAACTCAGTTCAATTAAGCTTTTACTACTCAGATTTGGCAAATGATTTCTTTCTCTTATGTTATTTTATTTTGATTTTCCTAAAATATGTCCAAATTTTACCTGCTCCTGCAAACAAATGGGGACCTGGAAATAGCTTTCCTGTCCTAAACCATGTGTTAACTCCTCCACCAATGGACTCAAAAACTCCGAAAGCCAACAATATTGAACCGGCATTGAAGTGTCTATCCCGGTAAGACCCTTTCACCAACTCCTTCCTTTCCTGATAAGGAAATGCCAACACATCATACACTCTCATGTAGTAAACATTCAAGAGATAAACCACTAGTTTATGCAGAAATGTCAATTTTTGCTTAACAGCAAGAAAAAGCATTGCACAAAATTTAATGTCAAATACATAAATGAAACTAATTTACAATGATACTATAGTTACTGTGGCCAACCCTTCCATCTATTTTTTTCAAATTTAGCACATCAAATTCATCCTATGAAGGGTTTCATGTATACATGACCAAAACATGAAGTGCATTGTTTCTCAACCCACCAGAAGGAAGTTAATTCCATGGAAATAAAAATGCACACTTGGCATTAAGCATGCATTTCAATTGTTCTACATTGCATTCAGCATATAATAATCCTGACCGTCACATGCCTACCTCACTGAGCTGCTGAATTTTGAGTGCAAAAGGAGATGGTGGTTCTTCCACTGGTGTCCCCTCTGGTGTAACTGGGGTAGGCTTAACTTGCTTCTTGAGCTCATTAATTTCATTCTGGATTGTCCTGACTCTCCTCCATTGCCAACCCAAGTACCCTGCCCACAATGTGAATACAAACAGACCACCCATCGCAATGGGGTGTATCAAAGCAAATGTCCTCCCCTCCAATATTCCAAACTCCCCACCAACAGCAAGTGCATCCTAATCCACACCCAGAAATTGATAAAAAATAAAAAATAAAAATCCAAATTTGAAATGGAAGAAGATTATATAAACATGGGTAAAGTTCTGATTTTGAAATGCATGCAGAAACTAGAAAATGAGAGTGAAATGAATTACTAAAATTGTACTTGCCTTGGTGTCCAGTAAAAATGGCAATGTGGCAGCTGTGAGTGGGAGAGAAGTTGACTTCAGGTGGTGAATGGTGGTTGTGATGAGCTTTTGAGGACTAGCTGAGTCCTTGGCAATACTGGGTTTTTTTGGGATCGAAGAATGTTGAAGTTTTGAGAGACATTGATTGGGTTTTGGGGGAAGAATAGGGAGTTTGAGGAGGCTGAGTGTGGCTGACATGCTCTCTTCCTCTGTTTGCGGAGCAGAGAGGGAGACAGCAGATTTCTAAGCGTAGAGGGAAAAGATAAGGAAAGGGAGATTGAAAGATGAGATTTGTGTCCATTTGGTTTGCTGTGGTTTGTTGATGTTGGCATATAATGGGGCCCTCTTTCACTGTTATGGAAGGAACGAGTCTGATCCACAGCTAAAGGCACTGGGATGTACGTTCTTGGCTTCATTAACTCTCAAGTTCTGTTGTCGGTTTTTAATTTTTACTCGTGTGGTTAGAACTTACTCTCATATTTCTTTCGTCTTCTAACTAACAAAACTTTGAATTTGCTAACGGGTAATTTAGTGAAAAAAAGTATTAACACTTGTACTAATGGTCTCCGATTCAAATCGTAAGAGAAATTCTCTTTCACTAATTTAAACTATTGCTTTAAAAAAATAAATAAATAAACTTTGAATTTCCCAATGTCTTCGAATTGTGTCATGTTACAAAACAATGATAATTTAACCGTTTTTTAAAATCATGATTATTTTAACCAAATGGAGAACACCATTATATTTGTTTGTCTATTTGAAAACAATTAGATGTGTGAATTGTTAGAAAATTTTCTCAACTAAAGTATATTTGTGCATAATAAAAGTTTCTCAACATACGTATGTTAGATTAATTAGCATGTACACTCAAGTTCGAGTTTTCATTCTCGTAAATTAGATTGAGTGCCCGTTTGGCATTGCTTATTTGGAATGATAAGTGATTTTTTTAAAATTTTGGAATGCCCAGCCCATTTGGTAAACTATGAGAAAATCACTTATTTTTAAAAATTGCCTTGAGAGAAAACTATAAAGGAAAATAGCTAATGAGGTGCTTTCATTTTCTGATTATGCTGGAATCAGTACCAACAACACTTTTAACAAAAAAATTACCTAACGCCAAACTGTTTTTTCTCACAGCAAATCTGACAACGATTCTTTTTACAGCATAGTAATGCCAAACTGGCTCTAAGTAGTTTAGACTATGAATTGTTTAAAAATTACAATATATATACATAGAAATCGAATGTTTGTCTATTTGAAAACAATTAGATGTGTGAATTGTTAGAAAATTTTCTCAACTAAAGTATATTTGTGCATAATAAAAGTTTCTCAACATACGTATGTTAGATTAATTAGCATGTACACTCAAGTTCGAGTTTTCATTCTCGTAAATTAGATTGAGTGCCCGTTTGGCATTGCTTATTTGGAATGATAAGTGATTTTTTTAAAATTTTGGAATGCCCAGCCCATTTGGTAAACTATGAGAAAATCACTTATTTTTAAAAATTGCCTTGAGAGAAAACTATAAAGGAAAATAGCTAATGAGGTGCTTTCATTTTCTGATTATGCTGGAATCAGTACCAACAACACTTTTAACAAAAAAATTACCTAACGCCAAACTGTTTTTTCTCACAGCAAATCTGACAACGATTATTTTTACAGCATAGCAATGCCAAACTAGCTCTAAGTAGTTTAGACTATGAATTGTTTAAAAATTACAATATATATATACATAGAAATCGAAGATACATAGCTTTAGAGTGCTGCTAAGGCCATCTCCAGTCATAGGGCTAAATGTTAGGGGTGGGCACGGTCCAGTTTGGACCGATTACGGTCCAGTTTGGACTGATTTTCACTAAAAAAATAGAACCTGAACTGAAAATGCAGACCGGTTCGGTTTGGACCAGTTCTGCTTAAAATCCAAATAGAAATCCGAACCAACTCGGACTTACCGATTCCGATTCGGTTCCTGCGGTTCCGGTTTGGGCATGGGCCCAAAATTTTATTATTTTTATTTTTTACAGACCTGCCCATAATGTATTTATATACCAATATACCCTAAATTTGAGATTCCATCAAGCTTTCAACACATCAAAATGAATCAAACTTCAACAAAAATACAATCCAAATTCAACATATAAATTACCGTAGGGGCTATTTCGTTCCAGCAGCTTGACGAATGGGCCTGGGCTGTTGTAAAGAGCAAATGGCTGGAATCGCCCCTTGTGTCTGAGTTCAAAGATCAGACCCCAAAATGTTTCGAAAGGGTTGTAAAGCCTTAGGAAACACCTTGGTTACCTTCACCAACGAAAATAATGGCTACTTACAGATAAATTCTTGGCTTGGCATGAGAAGCTTGTGGCATGGGAGCTGAGCATTCATGAGTTTAGCATGATAGAGAGAAAGAGTTGTGATTTCCTATGAGAAACAGAGTTTTTAAGGCAAGGGAAGAGAGGATCTGACGAGGGCTTGGCTGAAAAGAGGAAGAAGGAGATAAGGAGAGGGCAATGGGTGGCTTAAGTGATTTTCCAGCAGCTTGACGAAAACTCTGTCAAGCACTGGAACAGTTCTGCCAGGAGGGAAAATGGGGAAGAAGGATGAATAGTGCACGAAATTGCTAGGTTTTGAAGATGAGAGGGAAGCTTGCTCTCTGAATGTGTGTTATGAGAGAGAGAGAGAGAGAGAGAGAGAGAGAGAGAGAGAGAGAGAGAAGATGGAAGAACAAAGCATGAAATTGAAGGATTCCAAAGGGATTAGGCGTGGGCACGGTCCGGTTTGGACCGGTTTTCTCTAAAAAATGGAACCTGAACCGAAATTGCAGACCGGTTCGGTTTGGACCGGTTCTGCCAGAAATCCAAACAAAAATCCGAACCAACCCGGACCTGTCCGGTTCCGGTTCGGTTCCTGCGGTTCCGGTTTTTGCTGGGCCCAAAATTTTATTTTTTACATTTTTTCCAGATCTGCCCGAAATGCATTTATATACTAAAATACCCAAAATTTAAACTTCCATCAAGCTTTCAACACATCAAAATGAATCCAACTTCAATAAAAATACAATCCAACTTCAATCAAACTTCAACAACATATAAATTACAACCCAAATTCAATCAAACTTTAGCAAAATAAATTCCAAAATAAATTACAAGCCAAATAAAACCCAAATTCAATCCAAATATATGTTACAACTCAAGTTCAATCCAACTTCATTAAATTCCTCTTTAACATTGAAAAGTAGCTGGAGCACACTTGGTAGGTGTGGATGAACTCATAATATCTACATAAAAAAAAAACATAAACACATTAAAACATTAGTAAGATGTACATATTATATAATACATTAGTAAAACACATAAAATTACAAAGGCATACCTAATTCAATCGATTCATAGAACTCCATCTCTTGAATTGTTGGCTCATATTATAAAGAAGATATGTATCCAACCTTAACCAATTTTGAGAGCAAATTAAGGCCTCCACAATCTTAGGAGTCAAAGAAGCACGAAATGAATTAACTACCCGACCACCCGTGCTAAAGCATGATTCCGAAGCCACCGTTGATACCGGGATGGCAAGCACATCCTTTGCAATAAGTGCCAACCCCGGATACTTAACCCCATTTAATTTCCACCACTTCAAAACATCAAATTCATCAACCACATCTTCAATAGGGTCGGTGATGTACCTATCAATCTCATGCTCCAATATCACAACATCATTTGCTCGAGTCTCTTTTCTCCAATTTTCAGTCATTTCCCTCCGTTTCTTTCCCCCTCGGCTTAGGCTACTACTTATATGCATGGTAGTAGTATCACTAAAACAATAACTACTACTTTGAGTGGATGGTGGTGGTGGTGGTGATGGCGGCATAGCATATTCCTTATAAAGCTTCTTTAAAATCTCTTTGATCTCATTCTTCTTCTTAACCGCATCTTCCGAATTTTCAAACCGACTCTTCAAGATAAACTCCAAGTTCCCCAATTTGTATCGAGGGTCAAGAACAAGAGCAACCATCAAAATTTGGTTCAATTTATCAAGGTCACCCCAATACTTTTTAAATTTCATCTTCATGTTAAGTGCCATGTCCTTCAAAACTTTAGAGGTTTGAGTTTCACTTAATATTTCCTCCTCTTCCATCAACAAATCATCAATTTCTTCTTCTATTGCAATCAAATCATGAAATGTGGTGTGAGAAGCGGGATACAAAGTGACACTCATCTTCAATGTAGTATCATAAAATACCTTTAAAAAATTCACAAAGGTACGAGCATTGTTCCAATCCTCATTAGTTGGTGGCCCTTCCCTTTTTCTAGAGTAATGAGACATAACCACCCCATCTTCGTGATCCGGTTCATCTTCACCAAACCAAGAAATATATGGGCCTTCATCATCTTCTCCCATTCTCCAAAAGGCTTTTTCAAACTTTAAGGCGGCTTCCAACATCATATATGTGGAATTCCACCTAGTTGGCACATCCAACACCACAAGCCCTTTGCATTCAATTTGCTCCTTCTTAACACAACTTTTAAAGTCTTCTAACCTTTTGGGAGAAGATCTTACATACTTCACCGCATTTCTTATACACAATATGCTTTTCTCCAACTTCTTCAACCCATCACGAACTATCAAATTCACAATATGAGCACAACACCTAATGTGCATGTACTTTCCCTCTAATACAAGACTTCCATTTCCCCAATGACTCATTTTCGACTTCAAGTAATCTATGGCCTTCGTGTTTGAAGAAGCATTATCGGCCGAGATGGTTAGTATCTTCTTCATATCCCAATCAAGCAAACATGACTCGAGGAGTTTACCAATTGAGTTCCCCTTGTGATTGGAAATGACACAAAAGTTCAATACTCTTTTGTGCAAGTTCCAATCACCATCTATGAAGTGTGCCGTGATGACCATGTAATTAATGTTTTGAACACTTGTCCAAGTGTCCGTTGTGAGGCACACTCTATGAGGCGCTAATTCTTCTTTCAATTTTTCTTTCATGGCATCATACATTACCATGAAATGCCTCACAAGTGTCCTACGAGATGGCACTTGGAAATGGGGATTCAAAGAATTACAAAACCGCCTAAACCCTTTTCCTTCAACCACACTAAACGGCATCTCATCCATTACTACCATCTCTACACATGCTTTTAACCACTCTTCTTTACCATGCACTGTTGATGTAAGAACCCCATGTTCTTGGTCAAAAGATAAGAGCTTTTGCCGTTTATCTTTAGGAACCCTCCCCGGATACTTCTTACATAGGTTTTCAATATGCTTCCTCAAATTTGAGGTCCCATTTCTAGTGGAGTCTGCCGCATAGTTCATAGAGCAATACTTGCACCTAGCTCTCTTCTTAGTGGTTGCATATTTGCTCCCATCCTCTTTCACACTCTCAACCACATCTTCATATCTCTCAAAGTGGTCCCATACTTCCGATTTTTCTTTTCTTGGGCCGGAATGAGGTAATGGTGGAAGAGCACTTGATTGAGGTTGTGTTTGGGCATGAGGTGCACTTTGAGTTTGTGTTTGGGGTTGGGGTTGAGGGATGGGTAAAGTGGGTAAAGATGTTGATGCGGATGCGGATGCGGATGTGGATACGGATGCGGATGATGAACCAACTTCACTATTAGTAGTGCCATGCACCTCTCCAAATGGGTTCAAGTTCAACTCATCCATGAATTCTTTAAGAAACCAAAAACAAAAACAAAAAAAAAACCCAACTTCAACATGATAAACAACACCTCAATTTAAAAATAAATAAATAAAAGAAACTTAAACATTTTATAATCCAACTTAAACATTTTACCACCATATATAGCATGTATTTAACACAAACTAAGCACATTATCATCAATTCATCAATTTGAATGCACAACTAATTAATCAATTTGAATGCACAACCACTATAACTTATTACACTGTTATGCACAACCAATTAATAAATATTAATCAATTTGATAAATTTCTACGGCTACCATTTTGATAAATTTGAATGCACAACTAAAGAAAGCTTATTCACAACACAAGGCAAATGTTAGCAGAATTTCTGCAGAATTCTTATTAATAACAGAGGACATTTATCCACAAAAAACAACTAAAAAATATACAGAATTTCTGCAAAACATCAAAATCTGAGAGAGAGACAGAGAGAGAAATGAAGAATACCTCAGAGAGTGGCAGAAAAGCTGCAAACTGCTCCAGAAATCTTTTGCTGATCTGCACCAACTGCTGCCAATTCAATTTCCTAAATCAATGAATTGTAGTAAAGCATTGTAAGTACTAATAACAATTTCAGATTCACATGGTAATGCCATATTACAACCAATAAAATATTAACAATTTCAGAAATATTAACAATTTCAGATTCAATCTCGCAAAAAAATTGAGCAAGTAAATTTTAGATTCACATAAGCATTGTAAGTACTAATAACATGTCTTAGCAATGCCTTAGTTTCCAAGTTATGAGTTACAAGTTTAAACAAGCCATTAAAACTTGATCCCTAAAACAGAGAGAAAAAAGAGAAAAAAAACAAGCCATTAAACAATACTTCAATATACCATCTCCTGCTGATTTAGGGATCAAGGTTTATGATTGAACTCTCAAATCGTCGAGAGCTGAACCCAAGGCTACACCATATTATTATGTATAAAACTCAATGTGCTGTAGTTTAAACCATCAGGTTTTATTCATTTATAGAGTAGAGCACTGAGGTTTCTTGTCGGCAAAAATGGAAATTTACCCAATTCTTGAAGGAAGGGCACTGAGGTTTCTTATCAGCAAGAATGGAAATTTACAAGTCCTTGGTAAAATTATTACATTAATAATCCAATTTGAAATAGAACAGTGTTGTTAATTATTATGTTAACTCGCAATTGTACGGGGCAATTAGTAGTATAGCAAGACAAGTACGAGGTCGTACCCACGAAGACTGAGAAGTTCAAATTAGTTATGTACGTAGATTACCGAATTCAAGAAGTTAGGAAGTTAAGTCTAAAACAGAAATTAAAGTGAGAGTGATTGTGATTGTGAAAGGAAGTGAGCAAACTGAAATTGCAAATGAAAGCAAATAAACAAGTGTAACAAAGAGTGGTTTTAAGAGTTGGAAAACAGATTTGGAGACTAGGGCATTCGAATCACCATAACAATTCAATTCTGGGTTATATGGAGTCAAGTAACAAGTCTAATTCAAATTCAAAGATTGATTCTAGCTAAAGTATGATTAGGCCATGGTGTTTGGTCCTAACCTTGTGTTCCTAATTCCCTAATTTGATCATTTGTTGTCTAACCTAAAATTAAGCATTAGGAACCCATTAAGCATAGAAGAACAATTTAAACAACCAAGCATGTATCTAATCCCTGTTGTCGAATGTCCATACATACTCTTCCTATTCATAGTTCAATTCGAATTAAAGCATGGTGTATACTCTTAATTCAAACCAAGATAGCTAACATGCAAGCCTAAATGGTGATCAATCATTCAAACTAGCATAT